GTCACGCGACAAAATGCTGAGAAGAGTTTCGTGATGCATCAACACAAATCCAGTCAAACATGTACGTGGACGATTGCCTTGCCGGTGCTGATGACATTGGAGCTGCGGTGGAGTTGCAGCAGTCCTTAGACAAGATGATGGAACGAGGAGGATTTAATCTGACTAAGTGGGCCAGCAATTCAAAGGAAGTTCTCAGCCACATTGACGAGCAAGAGCAGGCGAAGTCCATTACCATTGATTTCAATGCAAGTGAGCCTGGAAAGGTTGTCTCCTCTTCAGTGTTCTAGCGATGATTGATAATGATTAAACTTTATTCTTATAAAAGACTGAATAATACCCATTTTCGTTTTGGATGACAACAATATTTAATAATTATAATGACCCTCATTCATATGGTCTTAAAAAGATAAAAATAAATAATGATGTCATAGGCTATAGAGAATAGCTGATCATGTCAAAAACCCTTTCTAATTTAAGCTGATGATGTCATCTCACCAGTTACCATAATTATTAAATGATTATTTTGATGATGATCTCATCGTTTTTTTATGACGTCAACTCCCTAGATTGTTATACAGACTACCTTTCTATTTTTAGATGATGATCTCATCATTTTAATCCCGTGAGCTATTGTGACGTCACTCCACCACCTCCACCACTGCGTAGAACCCCTCGTCTATTACTACTGCCACTCATGAAAGCAAAGTAAAAGTCTGCCCTTATCAAAATGTCAACGTTGACCGATCCACGAGGGTACGAGTCAGCAAGCGTCAAGCCCTTCAGGTGAGGGTATTTCTCTAAGCTGATCTCCACTAGTTCTAGTGGTGTGCAGATTTTTTCTGTGGTGAGGGCCTCCATTCTAACCGGCTTTGAAACGCTTCCTTGAACAGAGGTGAGGGAGAAGCTGACTCTCTTCATTATTTACGTCTGACTGGATTTTCCCCTAACATGCATGGAGACACTAAGGGCCTCAGAAGTTCCATCTAGGGCCAATGATTCAGCAACACTCTTAGTGATATAGGACCTTTAATTTCCTGAGCCAAACAGAACCCGCACAGTCACTCTCTGGTCACCGTCTGCAACCAACGTGGCTGTCCAAGTTTGTAATAACGCCTGTTGCATCTTGGGGCCTTACGAAGACACGAAACCACTTAATGTCGTCTTTCTTTGTCCCTCTGTAGTCCTATCCCCGTCACCATGAAGCATGGTGTGATGTCGTCGTCCACACGTTTAAACACTGCACTTGGGTTGGCGACAAACTGAAGAGTAGTGGAAAGTATAGTTTTCTCTCAGGTGTTCTTTACCCCAGTTCCGTTCTTGTCCCTTCCCGCATTTCCTCTCACTATTCCACCGGGCTAGGGGCCCGTTTCTGGAAAGTCCCGATAATTAACGGGCCCAGTAAGCTGTTGCCGTTTACATTAAAGATCGAGGTTTTAATAGTTTTGCATCTAACATGATAAACAAAATGGAGTAGTTCGCTAGCCAGGACCCACGCTTTTATTCTTTATATTTCGATTTCAATATTTGATTTCGGGCCCGAAAAGTTACCGGGACTTTCGAGAAACGGCCCCCAGGAATTGTAAACATCCTCACCAATTACACAAGCATTTGTTTCCGGCCTCCTTGGAAATCACTTTCTTGTTGAAGAACTTAAAGAAAAGTTCAAGATCAACACTTTCTTCTTTGATGTCGGTTAGTTCTACACTACTTTCCATTTCTCGGATAACTCAGGTGAGAGCTTGGTTTCCAATATTTGAAGGAGGATAAAAGAATGGGTCGTTAATTTTTCACCCAGTGCTTCTAAAGCCTTAATTCGATTCTTTAGAGTGTCATGGAGATCTCGCAAAGATGCGGCTCCTTTGTTTGACCTTGGCTCCAGCTGAACAACTGACTTAACCAAAGACGAAATAACCACTCTTTTCCTACCAAACCGATGTTTCGGAGCATCAACGGCGTAGTGATATTTAGCACTAGTGACTTCAAATTCTTCGATGGTTTGATAGGCAATACCTTCAAGTGCTGAGCGCAGGTCGGTAAACTTCTGAACAGTAGGCACATTGTCATTATTATGAACAGCAGCCTCGATTTGATGTCATAAATTTTGGAATTTTAAAACATCTCCATCAAACTTGGGTAACTCCAGTTTTCGTAATTTCAAATGTGATTGTGTATGTTCTGTTGAACCCGAGGTGGTTTGTTCGTCTACCTTTGAAATTGATTGGTTAGATATTTACCCTTGAGCAATGCCTAAGGCATTATCAATCGCTCGCTGATAATCAATCCACTTTTGAGCTTCTTCAGCAATTTCATTTTTAGGAATAAGTGCTATAATCTCATCTCTTACCTCACTGCAACTCTCCATGTAACCATTTAACTTTTGAACACGATTCTCCATTCTAATGACGTTGTTGCTGGAACTTTTTCTTGTATCTTGTTGTACTTGTATCACAGCATCAATGTCCATCTTAAGGATCATTTCTTTTCTTCTTAAATACTGAATATCACTTAACTTCTGATTAGAAGACTGCGACCATAAATGGTCACTAGTTGATGCTGCAGCCCCTTTGTCTCCTTGTAAAGCTTGTGTAGGAACTGTTGTAGTCGATTCCGAACTTCCAGTTTGCGAACACGAAGGCTTAGATTCTCGGCTTGTTTAAGGACAACGATAAGACACGCCATTAGAGATGCTTTCTTCTCTTTCATCGGTAATCCTCTCTTTTTTAACTCAGCTTTTATTAGGGAAAGAGACATTCCACTCACAATTTCCTACCCTGACTTAATCGATGCACAGTTCTCTGCCATATTAAATCCTGAACTCACTCGTTTATCTCGATGTTTACTGTTCTCCTTAGTGTTTTACTTCACGAAAATTTCCTAACATCCTACTCCGAGGGACCAAAATGTTAAGTTCGAGCTCCAAAACAACTTCTCCTCTTAATAGCAACAGCAATAACTTTAATGTTCTATCGCGAACAAATTTTACAGACTTCAGACTACAATTTTTTCGCGAGCGAAAAGCACATGTTATGACACCCCATAATACTAACGCAACAACGTGTCCCGGGTAGGGTCGTTACATTACAAGTCTAGTCTCACGGGGAGTCGAGACGATCCACCGCTTCAGGTTGGGGCCCGAACAGCCAGTACGCGCATTCTCCCGCGTGATAGTGCAACCAGTTAAAAATGGCGCAATTATGAAGACAAGGGGTCTAAAAGTATGAAGTCTGGAACCAATAATTATAGTGGAGTTTGGGACGGCCGGAAAATTCGAAATTTCTTGGAAATTCCAAACACCTGCTGAGTGTGTTGAAGCTCTCAGGTGTCACACCTATCTGCGACTTGGTTTTAACGGAAGGGGAAACTCAGACTTAAAATGGAAGTGCAAAAGTGCGACTTGCAGGTGAATTTAATTTGTCCTTCTTTAGGACGACATATTCAACGGTCAATGCAAAATTTTATATTCCGCTGCGCTCACTTGTGATTTATCGAGTTAAACACTTGCAGATAATTTCGTACCCATGTATCAAGCAAATTACTTGTGAATGTCCCCATTTCCATAAATTTCCCTCCCTCTGGGTGATAGGTATCTCCGTGTGTTCTTATAATTCAAGCTATTAAGAAACATGTGTCAACTACTGTAAAACCCGCGAGTAAGAACCTCTTAGGCTAAAAGTTTGCCACTTAGGCTTCTTTTATACAAGAACCGGTCTAGCCTAAAATTTGAAACAGGGTTATTATTTTCTAGAATCTATAAAAAAAGTTCTGTACACTTGGATAAGAAGGGATTTCAGAATTCATGTGGTCATTGCTTGTTCTTCTTTTAGTCATTTTACATATGAGACCTGATTTGGTATGCAGATTTCCTATAAGAATAAGCTGCCCATGTATCAAGCTGAATAGCACTCTTAGCTACAATGTATGCTTTTTTTTCAGAAAATAAGAACCTATTAACAGCGTAAATTTGTGCCACTTACCATTTATGCGAGAACCTGTTTAGGCTAACTTGAACACGAGGAGTGTTTCCTCTGATATCCAAACAGGGGAGAAATGAATCCGTTTATACATACGGATTCTATGCATTTACCGTATGATAATGGAACAGTTTTAAATGGCTCACTTATGAAGGCAAGGGGTCCAAGGGAAGGAGGTCTGGAACCAATAATTATATTGAGGTTTGGGAAGGCCGGAAAATTCGAAAATTCTCGGAAAATCCGAATGCTCGCCGAGAGTGTTGAGGCTCTCGGCGTCACACCTATCTGCTATTTGGTTTTAACCGAAGTGGGAACTCAGATTTTAAATGGAAGTGCCCAAGTACGACTTGCAGGTGAATCTAATTTGTCCCTTTAAGGATAACCGATTCAAAGGGTCGATGCAAAATCAGTTTATATTCTGCTGCGCTCACTTGCGAGATATCAAGTTTGTTAAACACTTCTAGATAATTTCGTGCCCATGTATCAAGGAAATTACTTATGTATTTTCCTATTTTCAAGCTGCCTTCACGGGGGTAACTATCTCTGTTTTCTTATTATTGAAGAGGATGTTGAGAAACAAATGTCAACTACATTCGAACCTCCACGAGCGACCACCTCCCATAAGCGACCTCCTATCTATATAAACTGACACCAAAACTTTCCCAGTGAAAGCCTTTAGTTGGAAACTCTCGTCATAGACCACCTCCTGTAAGCGACCACGACATCTTTTCGGAGCTTACGGTTTAGTAATTTTCCATTGTTTTTAACCTCCTATAAGCGATCATTTGGCGCATGATCTGATCTCTATAGTATGTATGCTGTATGTACTATGCTACTTACAGTATTCGAAGAACTTAAGTAGCAACATGGAACTGCGCATATCGTAACCTTAGAAACTGCATCCATCTTACAACGGATATCTTCTCAGCAGAGAACCCCCGTGGTCTTTTTTCGTTAGCAAGCACCTCTCGTAAGCGACCGAGTCTTCGCATTTTGTATGGCCGCTTACGGGAGGTTTGAGTGTATCGTCCTTGTCTTTTTGCAGCTGCTCCGAGGTTCACCGTACCGAAACTCAAGCTTCAACAAAAGCTGATAGCCCTACCGGTCGGAAACTCCGCGAAACTTGACTGTTCCGCCGATGGATACCCTCGCCCCTGGGTTGCATGGTACAAGAATGGAAAACCGTTTAAAGAGAGAAGAGGTAGCTCTCTGTACTTGGATTGGAAGTATGTGTTGGCTTTGAAGGATGTGGTTCCGTCAGATACTGGGACATACAGCTGTAATGTCAGTAACCATCTGGGTTGGATAAACCAGTCATACTACCTTGATGTGCGCGGTAAGGTCATTGATATAAAACGCCTGGAAAATGTAGCCTACGTCGCAGACGTAAGCTAACCTCGGTCAGTAACGTCTGCAAAGCAGCGCCGAGATCTTTGTTCTGCGCCCCCAATGGACTCAACGAAATACCGGAAGTACGTTTCGAATTCCCTTTCATCTTAATTGGCATTTCGACAACGTCATTTTTAACAGGCCAATCATGGCGCATACTCAAATCCCTGTCACACAGGTGGGGCCCAGAAGAAGGATTTTGGCGCTATTTCGCAGACGGGCTTCACCAGAAGTTTAGTTCCGTGTGTGGCGCAGACTAGGAAAATGATGAAAGAGACGTTTGTTAATTATTTGTTAGCCTCTCTATTCCATTCAGCTTAGATCTTCATTTCTTGTTGGAATTAGAATTGGCCGGAGAAGTTTCATATTTTAAGGCCGCTTGTTGGGTTCAAAGTGGTCCCAAGTTATTAAAGTAGTGTTCTGGAGACTGGAAATAAAAGTACCCCTCAGTAACGTAACAATTTTGGGCAATCGTTTCGAAGAGACACTCACTGCTGCTTACACACAGACGTCTCTTGTTTCCTAGCCCTTTCTGTCTCAGTCAGCTTAGTTAGAGATATTTCAAATTGTAAGGTCCGTGGAAACTGAGACTACGAATTATCCCTGAATGACAACACAGAACTTTGACAATTTTTTTAGGTAATAGTAAGAGGAGACGTCTGCACACAAGCGACATTAGGGACATTAGGGATCCAACGACGCGGTCGGCAACGAGGACGTCAAGAAAACAATAGGTTTAATAAGCAAAACAACAACTTTGCCCGTGCATCACACTTTTTTGTACATTTCTCTGCCCGTTTTTGCACGCCTGCGACGTGAAAATGCCTAATTTTTTTACGTAAACAAGCGATGACGAAATTGTGTTTCTCTTTCTGTACTTGGACACGGTCCCCAGGAATTCAACTCCAGGAGGGTTCGCCTACATTGGACAAAGTTAGTGGGTAGGAATAATTGCGATAAAGACTGAAAGAACGCAAATTCTTTTTTTAAGCGACGTTCTCGTTGCCGTCGCGTCGTTGGATGTTAAAGTCCTTATTTTCTGGCGCTGGTTGGTTGGGAGCTAATAAGTAATTTACGCGTAGATAGACAAAGAAAAGCGTAACCTGTCAGAAAAAAAAAAAAATTCTTTATTGACATCTTTTGTGTGAAACAATTATGAATCATCCTCTGCTGTATGGCCTTTGCGGTAACGCTGTAGTAGTTTTCAGTTCCGCAATGGTTTTTTTCAGTGAGGTGTAAACTACAAAAAGCTCTTCGTTTCAGAATCGCGAGACACTAAGGGTATAATGAGAGACCTGCGCAAAATCGTTCGCGTTTCTCTTGCGCTTCGCCTTGACCTTAAAACCCTCGCTATATGCGATAATGAAGAGCTTAAAACAGTGAAAGGTTTGATCCAGGAGTCATTTCATTAGTAGATGGAGCATTACCGTCCGGGTGAGCGTAGTCCTGAATAGCAGCTCTTGTTGACAGTGACTGCCGTTTCGACAAAATGTGCGGCAGTTATTTTCAGAGTCAAAGTGAGCCGGGGGACGGGGAGGTTGTTTCACGTCACTTGATGGTATTTAACTCTGATTGGTGAATTAAGTGGCAATGTTATTGGTTATCTGTCTGTTAAGTCGTGATCTTATTGGCTATGAAGACTCTAAATTTGATTGGTACGTTTCGATTCGTCTTTACTCACACTTTTTTCAATCTTCTTTTATAATATCGGCATATCTGTGTTCTTCCTCCGTAGAACGAAGTCGTGCTAAGCCAGTGGTCCTTCCGATGTCAAACGCTACAGTTTTTGTCGGTGAAAACGTGACTTTGATATGCAGAGCATACAGCGACGCCATGCCTCATTTCCAGTGGCTCCGTTGGTTTCCTTTACATTCCAACAGCTCTGGTAATGACACTGATGGCAAAAAATTTGCTTATGAAGTCATAAATCAGAACCAGCAGGATTCCGTCAAGTACCGAAGCAGTGGCAACAACAAGGACGAATTCCATGGAAGCCCTTTAAGTTTGGTCAACGTTACAAAGAAAGATGAAGGAAAGTATACGTGCATTGTGGGGAATGCACTCGGTTATTCTACAGAGCACGCTTACATTATCGTTCAAGAAAAACTGGGTAAGATAGGTTCAATGCTAAAATGAATACATACCCTAAGTTAGTTCAATGTGGCTGATTGATAATTATCGACCTCTTAACCCTGCTACCTATATTTACCTTATTCTTGTATTCTTGTCATTTATGCACTCAAATGACTAAATGGGTGTCCTAAATGTAATTAATAAGCCCATGGTTTTCTATAGAGGCTGCACTGCCACCAGAAATTTGTCATTTTTTTTCTTGATGTTAATCTCATAAATATATAAAGTATAAGATATGGTTCCTGCTTGCCTAATGAATCATCCAACCAAAAAAATTACGCTTTCAAGGTTTTATTTTAAGGTTAATATTAGACTTAATGAACATAAAACCTGAAAGAAAAAAAAAATGTAATACACGCCATGTTTTACTATATGCCTTCCCAACCGCTTGTGGTCGAAATCGAAGTTATCGTCCTACTCATATTCGAGGAATTGAGTGCCAAAGTGAAAAAATACTTAAACAATTTAGTCTAATGAACAGCACACTTCTACAGGAGGCAAACGATGCAGATAGTTATTTTCAAGCATGGCGTTGAGTTTAAATCGTGACTTTTAAAAGTGAAAAACAACTCGAGTTGGTGATCTCAGCGGCTTTAAACCAGACCGCTTTCAAAGTGTGTTTTTGCCTGCTGAGCGCCTTGTAGAGGGCGCTTCCGCAGAGGGGAATGTACACACTTTGATTCTGCGATTAATTTTTTTGGTTGGGGAAGACAGCATGGCCGAGCTGTAAGTGCGTTGGATTTATAATCCGAAGGTCCTGAGTTCAAGTCCCGCCCTGAGTGCTAACTTGATTTGCTCTGACTCGTTAGTCCCGTTTTCAAATCCAAGCCCTCCTTTGTAAGCGACCGCGACCACTTTTCGGAGCTTACGGTTTAATAATTTTCCTGATCTTAATAGTATGTTTGCTGTATGTACTATGCTAGTTACAAACTTAAGTAACAACATGGAACTGCGCATATCGTAACCTTAGAAAACTGCATGCAATAAATTACATCTTACATCGGACATCTTCTCGGAAGAGACCTCTCGTGAGTCTTCGCATTTTGGATGGTCGCTTATGGGAGGTTTGGGTGTATCGCCCCTGTCTTTTTGCGGCTGCTCCGAGGCTCACCGTACGAAAACTCAAGCTTCAACAAAAGCTGATAGCCCCACTGGTTGGAAACTCGGCAAAACTTGACTGTTCCGCCGATGGATACCCTATCCCCAGGGTTGCATGGTACAAGAATGGAAAACCGTTTAATGAGAGAAGAGATAGCTCTCTGTACTTGGATTGGAAGTGGTTCCCTCAGATACTGGGACATACAGCTGTAATGTCAGTAACCTTCTGGGTTGGATTAACCATTCATACTACCTTGATGTGTACGGTAAGGTGTTGATATAAACGCCTGAATAAATTTAGCCTACTTCGCAGACGTAAGGTAACCTCAGCGAAGCAGCGCCGATATCCTTGTTCTGAGCCCTCAACGAACTCAACGAATTAAAAGAAATGCGTTTCGAATTCCCTGTCAACCTGGAAATCGACATTGGCATCTTTATCAGGCCAATTGTGGCGCGTATTTAAGTGGGGGCCAGAACAAGGATTTCGCCGCTGTATCGCAGACGGACTTAACCAGAAGCTTAGTTCCGTTTGTGTCGTGGGCTACGAGAATGATAAAAGAGACGGTTGATAAGGATTTATTAACCTTTCTATTCCAGTCAGCTTAGTTCTCCTTGGAATCGGAATTGGCCTGAGAAATTTTTAAATTTTACGGACGCTTATTGGGTTTCAAGATGGTGAAAAGTCATCAAATCGGCGTCCTGGAGACTAGAAATAAAGGTATCTCCAGGAGCCCATCACATCTCTGAATAACCTGACAAATATGGGCAATCGTTTCGAAGAGAAAAGCTTTGTTGCCTACACACAGACTTCTCTTGTTTCTTCGCCGTTTCTGTCTAACTCATCTTAGTAGTGAGAGATATTTCAAATTGTGAGGTTCCTGAAGGCGGATAACGAATTTATCCCTGAGTGACGTCACAAAACTTTGACAATCCCTTCCGTTACCTACATAAAGATCATCCCTGTTTTCTAGTAACAAAGGTAATAGGACTGGTTGGTTGCGCGCTGACGCTGAAGTAATATACGCGTAGTTAGACTCAAGAAAAGTATAACCTGTCCTTTTAAATGAAAAATTACGTTATTGAAAGTTTTTGACATTTTGTGTGTGGAAAAAGTTTAAATCATCCGTCTGCTGTATACACTTTGCACTTTGCACTTTTTAGTCAGTTGTAAATTGCTTAAAGCCGTTTGTTTCAGAATCGCGAGTGATTGAGGGATTGTGGGTGTAATGAGATACCATCTAAAATCTTTCGTGTTTCTCTTGCCTTTTTGCCGTGACCTTAAACCATGGCGATTTTCGATAATAAAGAGCTTGTTTTAAAAAACAGTGAAAGGTTTGAACCCAGTAGTCATTTCATATGTAAGTGAAGCATGATCGTCCTGGTAAGCGTAGTCCTGACGTTTCGCCAACCTGTGCGGTAGACATCTTCAGAGTCAAAGTGAGTTGTGCTTAGCAAACCTCCCAAGTGCATCCATGACTCGACGGTTGCACAGCTGCAACGTTTACCATTTCTTTTATAACATAATCAAAAGAGAAAACATTTCCATTTGCCTTCGGTTGAGTCATCGGCACTATAGACAAGTTGATATGTTTGCTGTCATCTTTCCGTGCATAAACAAATCATGCCTTTCAAAAACGTGCCTTTAATTTTTTTTTTTTCGCTGAATCAACCGTTCTCCGTCTTAGGGTAAATTGCAAAACGTTTTTTGTTTTTATTCTAAATGGCATCTGTCTACTTGCTCTTGTTGTTAGGGTAAATAATTTGAGGGAAAACTAGAGCTGCGACTATAAACACTAACTATTAGACTATCTAAAAAAATAAGCTTAAGCTTAGATGTGTGACAATTTTTGCAATAAACGTTGACGTAGAAATGAGAAAAATTGACTGTATTTCCTTTAGAACAAGAGATAACACTAATTTTCAAGCGAAATTAACTATCTTTGTATTGTAATTTGTCTGGGAAAATCAAGCTGAAAGTCAAAATAGCAAGAATTCGCCGACACAGCCGACGTTGAAGCGATGCGTGAGCAAAAATGCCTGGTTCAGACGCCGAACTTTCGTGAGCAGAACCTAATTCGAATTAAGGCCGACCGAAATTATTTAGACCGGTTGACTTGATTCAGACGCCGATTTTAATTCCAGCCGAACTAAATTCGGAAGGAGAAAAATGTTCATTTCTGTCAAACTGCTTACAAAATACGTCATAAGAGTTTATGCATTAAAATCGGTACATGAAAAGTTCTGCGTCTCAATCAAAGGCGTTCCAAAGTCGCTCCAAAGGCGAAATTCCCAGCCGGGCTAGGCGAAAAGAATGGCTGAGCCGTTCCAAATTAAAACAGGCGTTCCTAGTTGATTCAGAGGCCGAACTTTTCATATACTTAATTCAATGTTAGATTCGGCTCATGAAAAGTACGGCTTCTGAACCAGGCCTAGATGTTGTTTTTTTAAGACCGTTCTTTGAACTACAGTTACGTATGAACATAAACAAAACAAGAAACAAACAAGTCATTTTTCAAAAATTTATTTGAAAAACCAAATGTTTCTGTACTCAAATGAAATTCGCATTACAATTTTAGCGTAATGTGTCCGCAAATTCACTAAAATTTTTAATCGATGAGATGAAAGCTACACAACAAAGCTGTCTCGAATCTGAGCGCGTTTCCTAAAAAAATTGCTTGAATTTAACATCAAGTCGACTCACATTGTAAACGACAATAACACACTGATAATTGATAAATTTCCATTTCAAAACAGACTTTCTCCTCTATAAAAACACACAAAATGTACTTTAAAGTCTCGGGCTTAAATCCTCAAAAAACTGCGCCCACCCGGTTTTTCTTCTGAGCTCCTACTCGCGACGAAAACAGTGATAAATTTCTCCAGGGCAAATTTGTCGCATAACCTTTTGAATTTTCTTTAAAACGACAACTGAATGTTTTTCTTCAACTTCCACTTTTCATTTGCACATTTTATCGGTGCAATTTAAAGTGACAGGAGAGGAGATTTGCTGAATTTGCCTCAATTTTACCGCGCTAAATCAGTTCCTTGGCGTGCACCAACAGGCAAATGGCAGACGGCTAACTGATCAATCAGAGCGCGCGCTTTACTTTTATTGTCCCCGCAGGGATTTCGCCCAGAAAGCGAAATCTCGAAGAGGCACTCTAGTAACTCGCGCGTATATTAAAGAAAGTACTTACAGTTGAAGTATACAGTCAGTATGCCAGAAAAAAAGTCTCGATTAGCTTGAACAGGGGCCGCGATGAATCGGTAGGTAATGATGACGTTTCTATTGTTTACTCCAGCAAATACGAAATGGTTAGGATGAAGTAAAGAGAGAAAATCCCGAAGGGACCGCTTAGGTAGATTTTGTGACATTTATTGTGCAGTCATACTTCGATACTCTTTTGCGTTACGTGTTATCAGTGACATTCTGTGGAGCAGTTGTTTTGAAAGTTATGGACCAAAAGACACCTGTTAAGCGCAGATGAGGTTATAAGGTGCGTATAACTGTGTATATAATATATAGATTTAGCCAGGACTAAAAGCGAAACTCCTCTTAACTCGAATTTATATATAATTTAAATCAAACAATAAACTTGTATTCCACAAATCAGCTAACTTTAGAGCACATTCATGTTACTTTCGCGGGAAAGGCTAAGTGATTTTAGAGAAAAATGATTTGGAAACAGTCCAAGCTAAGAGTGAACTTAATCTTACATCGAGCTGATAGCCTTATATGTACACCCAAAAATAGCATAGCCATAATGCCACTTGATTACAGTAGATTAGGCCTGGAAAACAAATCAGGCCGAGTTTTTTGCGTTTGACAAGTTTGCTTCACAAAATCTTGCTAACAATTCTGGGGGCGTGTAAACCAACCTTTTATGCTTTTTATACATCACATCTGAGGTGAAATAGTACCATGAGGCGCTGTTTTTATCATACAGACCTCGGACAGAATGCAGTATTTCACAATTTTCCAATACAAATTGCACTCATTCAATATTCAGCACGATCGAAGCACGCGTGGGCTTTTAGCGAAACCGTTAAAAAAATTTCCAAAATTACCTATACGGCTAGCCGGTTCTCACTTTTGCAAAGCGCCAAAGTCGACTGTTTAAATGAAGATTAATAGAGTTATACGCTTCAACATAATAAAGAATTTATTAATATGTTTATTTTTTATCTAATGGTTTTATAACGATGTGTAATCTTCAAAAGCCTTTGATACGAGTGGCATTTTGACTACTCCTGCAAGCGATGTTCACGAGCGACTGAAAACAAACGGCACAGCGATTAAAATTGCAAAGAGACTACTAAAAATTAATAATAAAGGGAAAATAATTCGGTGAAACACATACAGAGACAACAATTTTCATTCACGAAGACAAGTATTAAAGTGTCTCTGAAAATCCTTGTTTATGTTTTAAGTCGGCTTCCCGGTGTTTGCTTTTTTCAAAGATGACCTCGAGGCAAGAAAATCGCTCAAAGCTTTCTTTTACAGCCAGAATTATAACTAAATATTCTTTGGAACGTTTTCTTTCTATTTGCAGTGAGAAAATGTCAGAGGGCTTTTTAAAGTTCTATAAACTTATAATCAAACCTGATACTCGGTCAGATCATTGTCTCAAATCTTACAAACGTGCATAAACTAAATAGCCCCATAAACTACGCTGGACTTCATTAAATTAGATATAAAAAAAACAAACATCAAATAAAATAATTACTCAGGCTTACCATTCGAGATGCACTGAAAACTATCAAGTAAGGCCAGAATCGCTTCAGACTGTTCAACCCTCTTACGCATCAAGCAAGGTGAAAAACGAAAACGATGCCATCCAAAATCGGATTTCCGACTTTGACAAGCGACGTATTTCTCAACCAAAAACCCAATAAACAAACTAACAGAAGACTTTTGATAGCAGCTGAATTTCATGTTGTACATTCAGTGGAAAAGACAGTTTAAAACATCACAAGTTGACACACAGCTTCAGCTGTCAAGGTAAACAAGTTTCAAGATGCTGCATACATTTTACGCATGAACTCACCTGTTCAGTTTTGACGAATAATTGTTCTAGTATATGTACACGAAGTGATCTCAGCAGAATCAGAAAGGTAACCATTAAAAAACGATTAGTTTGATTGACGAGTAAAATCATGCGAGAACATGTAGCCGTAAACAGAAGATGCGCGAAAGTAGGCTCTTTAAGCTTACAGTATCTTCAAACATGGCATGTCATAGTTTTTAATCTTTTTGTAAGCTTTAGCATCAATGGTTTGTAGGAAAGCTTAAATCACTACCCCTTTTGAAAAGAAAAGTAGATCTTTATTTGCTTCTGTCAACTCGCCGTGAATGAGAAATTTTTTTTTGTCGCTTCTTGCAAACGCTGTCAACAGCGGCTAGGATCGGGGTGAGCGTTGTTTATCTACAGTTTTCTTTGTCTTGTTAACTTGCTGGCACGTAGATTATACTTGTTTTTGAACTGTGACGACAGCCCATCACTCCAGTAGTGAACTTTCGTAATTGTTGTCACTTTCTTCAAAAAATCGATGATAGCACTGTTAAATGTATAAATGGTGCTCTTGTCATGGGACATCTCATCACTGATGACAGCAAAAGAGGCATGCTTGATAGCTCCCTCTTTTGTGTTTCTGAATTATTCAACAGCTGTAAAGATTGTCACACTTTCGTTCGACCAGTATGCGGCCATGATTTCATTCTGATGTTTAAGCTTAAAATTCCAGGCAAAATCTTCATGAATAATAAACTCGCCAGCAGGAAGACAATCTTTCAGGTGTCTTAGCTCCTGAGACTGTCGGCGGACATTATAAACATGCCTTCCAAATGGAGCAAGCTGCGCTTTTAGGTCTTCTTTTGCTCCTACCACATTGCTGACTACAAGTAGCTTCTTTACTCTGCTATCAGCTGGAGTGCGCCACTGGTAGCATGAGACAGGTAGCTCGTCATCTGTATTGAAAAGCTCATTTACAACTCGGTCAATACCACAATTTGAGCACTTACTTTCCTCTTGGCTGCAAACTGTAGCATTTAGTAGATATTCTGCTGTTTTGTAGTGCGAAGATACCAGACTAGTGGTGGTAAGAGTATGGAGGAGATCTATGTTTTCGTGATATTTGCACATGCAAACTTCTTGATCACGAAGGGTAATAGGCAGCACTTGCCGAGGCCTCAAAGACGCAAACTTGGAAAATCCAACCTTCAACTTCGAACCTTTCTTAAATAAAGCATGTGCTTCGCGCAGATTTACTAGTAGCAATCGCTTTTGTCTTGCTTCCTTGCCGCTCTCAACCTTCACAGACACTTTATCTTTTTTTCCAGAAAGAATTCTGCTTATGTCTTCTCTCAGATAGAACTCCTTAATTTGCCTTATTTCCTCCTCTGAAAGAAAATCTGATCTTTTAACTCGTTCTCCTTCGACCTTGCGCCGCTTTGCATTGTTGTCAGAAACTGAAATTACTGCCTTGCGCTTCTGAGGTGACAGTTGATATACCAGTTTCCCTACTGAAAGTTCAGGAACTTTTTCGGGGTTTTTGGGAAGGCTCTTATGCACCTTTCTTACTGCCTTTCCTAGGCTTTGGGATGTCAGGAACTGACTTTTCACGGTGCCAGGTTCTTTGTCGTTCTTCACTCGTCTGCGCCTTCTGTCTGGCCATGTTTGATCTTTTCCAGTTCCTTTGCTTTGCTCTCTGCCTTGCCTTCTTTGCATCTGACAAACTCTCTTTCTTTCTCTTGTACTCTCTCGCTTTCCTCTTTCTATCTTTCTCTCTGTACAGTGCTAGCTTCTTCTCGTCGTTTTTCAACCTCTCCCGGTATTTCCTACTCCTCTCACTACTAGTTAACAGGGCTACAAACAAAATCAAAATAGCTGGCTTCCAAAAACAAGTCTTGTTTTCGTAGCCGTCTTCCCTGGAACGAAAATGTCGTCTCCGCAACAAAAATAAAACATTAAATTTTTGTGGAAATTTTATGTATTTTGATGAATATTCAATATACAAAGGTTACAATGACTGTTAATTAGAGCATTTGGCCCGTTTTCCATACTGCAATCAAAACTCTTAGTAGTGAAATCGTTGCGGAGAAGACACTAAAACTTTGGAAAGTCCAATTCTTCGCACCCGTTTTTAATTACTCAAGCTAGGTACGTCCATCGTATTTTTATAATATTGAAGTCCCAGAGCGGCTTTTCAAGCAAAATAATCAGTTTTTCGAATAAGTGAAAAAACATTCGTCTTCTACGCAACGGCTTTTGGCAACACATGCAGAATAAATTACTATATTTGTATGATAGTGCTTAAAATGTCAACTTTTTAAAAACCATTGTCTAGTTTCACATTACCGTGCAATGACCCAAGTATTTATGAATTTTTTGTAATGTCACCAGTCACTTGCATAATAAAATGGCAAATATAACCCCTTAAATTATGGAAAATTGCAGTTATCTTATCAATTAATATTACAGTCTTGGTAAACTGATTCTCTGTATTTACCTGTGATATAACAATGACCTCTGACTGTAATGTCTTTTTCAACATATTTCTTATCACGTATATGCCATTTATCAGCTTTTTTGTAATCTTCTTTATCTTTTTCTGTAAGTCCATTAGTTAATTGAAATGTTTTTAAATTGTTTTTTGACGCCATTTAACTTTATTTAACGTCCTTTCTATGAACTTATAAACATCAGTTTCTCCTTTATATATCTGAACTGGTTTACTGTATTCATCATCATTACAACAGACAACCTTATATCCATATATATCTACAGATTTTATGTTTTTGATGTGATTCAGTATATGATTCATCATTGTTTGGTTGGCAGGCATCCTTGTATTTTTTTCTGTAATAGCTTCAAAATCTGCATAGATTACAAATGGTACTGGTAACTGTTTCTGGACATGATTTAATTTCAACATATTGTCACCTTTTTCAGGCATTTTTATGGCTTGCTGACCATTATAAACTAAACAGTTTTCTTGGTGATTCTTTAACATATTATCAGAACTACTGAAGCATTGTAAATAATGCATACAAAAGTCTTTTCTATGTTCATGTTTTGTTTGGTTGTACATAAACTTATAGACGTCTTTTATGAGAACATAATGTTTGTTTTCACCCTCTGTTATCAATAATAGTTCCATGTAATCTCAAACCTATCGTTAGAAATGTGTATTGGAAATCGTTGTTCATCTTCATAACCGAATACGTTTATATTGATATTACATTGTTTCTCAATCTTGTTTAACCGTTAAGTGGTTACAGGAAAACTAATACTTGAGTAATTAAATTGGCTAATAAGTGGTTTATTAGTCTTTTTTTATCCTCTGGGGGTTTTTCTTGTGGCTTTAAATGGCTAATGTGGCACCATCTAAAACATTCATTATCATCATTCTTAATATTAATCAATCCTTTAGCTGCATTTCTCAATTTTTTAGGCAGTTGACAATGTAATGATCCTTTTAATGGTTGATATTTGGCACTATTTATGTAATGGTTATCAATTGATTTAATAGTCCAAACCGAACCCTCTGATATCCACTGTGCAGTTTTATTCAATTCATCTTGTTTAGATGTTTATAACCCTTCATTCAATTCATTCTTATTAACAATTGTTTGAGTGATACTATCAAAATAAGCTTTTTTTTTTTATACGGTTTCATCATTGGATACTTTTGAGAATTCAACCTTCAATGATTCAACAAATTTAAATCCTTTTAATTGTTTCAGTTAAAAGAGTTTTGAAGTTTTGCTCAATACCTTTTCTTGTATTTTGTAATTGTATTAAAGGGTCTTAATTATTTTTAATTTTAATTTCAAATGATTGTGTATATCCTTTTAGAGCTTTACTTGTTTTGTCGAATATGATGCTAGGAGCTGGAACTGGTTTTTCTTTTAGTCCTTGGCTTTGGGACTGGTTTGTACCCACTCCCTAAACTCAGGGGGCGGAAGGATGATGTTATCTTCAAAATTTTTAACCATTTGTTTAACACTCTTACCTGGTTCAGGAATTGGCTTCATATTCCTTGGTTTTGGCATTGGTTTTACAGTCCGTGGGGTAGAAACTGGTTCATCATCCACTATTTCAATTCCATAGATTTTTTGCGTTCTGTTTCAATAACAGCCTGATTATATCCGATTTCTTGAGTTTCTTAAGATCTGATTTGTTCATATCTACATGATTAGATATGAACAATTATCATTTTCATATACTATACTATAGATATTTTTAAAATATATTTACACACCTCCTTTAATTCCTCCAGTTTGAAAAAAGATTCTATATTTGAATTTCCCAATTATGTTAATATTCAAACTGTTGAAAAATTTGAAAACCATATATATTATTTTTTATTTTGTTGTGATCTTCTTACCCATCTTTCTATATACAATACTATATGTTAGATAATGTTCTCTTAAAATATTTTCATGACTTCTTGAAATGGTCACAACATATATTGTCCATATTCATGGTTTTAGAAGTTCATTATTCAGGGAGATGATTTTGTTTTTCCTTCCTGAACATGTAGATGATTTAAAACTATCTCACGCTTCTCGATATCTTTTTGTATTTTTTATAAAGTTCGTTCGGTCTCTTGTGGCATGTGATCTTTTTTCAATGATTTTAGTTTCTTTACATTGGTTGATGTTACCTCGAACAGATTATCCAACGCATTATTTAGTACAGATGTTTGAAATTCTCCATTATGTATTATTTTGTTGTAATTGTTATATATTTTATTTTTTAATAGTATTCTTTTTTTATTTCGGGAATATTGTCCATCTTTGTGGTTTTGAAAACGTCATTTTCCTGTTTATATTTATTATTTTCTATATCTTCGCATACGATTTCCGGGGACGTCAAAAACTGGGATGCACGGGACGCGGAATGTGAATGATTATCGCAAAAGTCGGAGGTAAATGCGATATCTCTTTCTTCGCGAAAATGTGCTATTTATGGTCAACATTAGATTCCATCTTCCAAAACCACATTGGACACCTTCTGATGTTTACACAAAATACTTCTTTTTATTAATAGGAGTAAGCGCACTGACTATCGTGATTAGGGCTAGGGTTGATTTCCACTGTCGCGTAATTTTTCCATGCCTACGTGCGTAGAATTTGCGTTCGCAAATAAAATAGAGGCAATGTATGGAAGATCGCACGTAAGCGTAAAAGTAGAATCTCGCTCAACTTCACGTTTATATTTTACCGTTATCTTATTTACGTGATTAAAATTTACTCGCGTTAACGAGCATAGCCAAAAACGCGTCAGTGGAAATCAACCTTTAAGTACTGTTAGCAAGCATTTACTGTTAGGTTTCCCACTAAAAATATATATAGAACAAAATAAATATAGCTACAATAGTTGAATCCCCCGTGGTTTAGTGGTACAGGCGATGGATTTCGGAGTTAGCACTTCGGGATTCGAAGCTCGCTTACGCCACTTAATTTTAAATTTATTTGGAATCGAATGCTGTCATTCTACATAATTTTTGGCGACCGCAACCCACCTTACCCTGCTTTGGGCTCCAATTTCCATCATAAGAAGACCAGGACAACGGTTTCACTTTCTTCTATGCAAGGGGTCTTCGCCGAGTCCGTCGCTTCTTAAACAGGCATGGAGGAACCCTAAGGAAGGCAGGGTGGGTTGCCTTCACCAAAACATGTTCACGAGAAAAGTGACTGATATCGCATTTACGTCCGACTTTTGTGATAATCATTCACATCCCGCGTCCCCTGCGTCTCTGTTTTTGACGTCCCCGCGTCTCCGTCCCACACGTCCCCGCGTCCCATACTTGATGTCCTCAAGTCCCCCGTCTCGCGTCCCCAAGTCCCAAGTCCCCACACACGCGTCCCGATGTCCCCGTCCTCTTGTCCCCGTCCCACTTTTATACACAGCCAGATCAATGGTTGCTTTGGATTCTATGTTATAAGAAAGTTTTAGTTGTTTAAAAAACCTACTAGATTTGGTTCCGATTTCCTCTTTTTACTGATCCAGTTATAGTATTTGGCTCCATAAGACAAGTGAAGTTACTTTGATGCTGACTTTTTGAAGAATCAGGCCTAAGACCAAGTGCTATTGACACGTTTAGTTTACACTGGGATGGCAAAACCTCAAAAGAAATGCGTCGTGATATTATTGATAAAATTATTATTGAGTCTAAGGCCTGAAACTTTATAAAAATCATCCGGCAGACTTAAAGGAGATAGCAGAAAGCTGTTCGATCCATCCAGAATAAGCGTCGTGTCATCTGCGTACTGACTTATCTTGATCTCTTTATCATTTACATTAATACCCCATATATTCTCAATTTTTGCGTCCAGCCTTTGCTAATACTCCCGCTGTAAGGATAAAGACATAGGGTGAGAGAGGGCAACCTTGTCTTACCCTCTTTGGATGCTAAGAAAATCGCTAGCCCATCCATTATTTAACTCGCAACTTTCCGGGCCACCATAAAAGAGATACTAGCACCGAAACCGAAAAAAGAGGGAGTATTTCGAATCAAATACCATTCTATCGTGTCGAAGGCTTTTTCAAAATCTAGAAAGAGAAGGGGGCCTGGGATATTCTGTTCCTAAGCATAGCAAAATAAACTGTCAATAAGACGAATGTTTTCCCCAACGAATCGTCCTTTCAAAAAGCCTGTCTGGTCGTTGTTAATAGGAGCAGGTAGGACACGATTTATACGGTTTGCAATAGTCTTGGCTGCTATTTTATAGTCGCAATTAAGCAGGTTCAAAGTCCTCCAATTCTCGATAAAGTAAGGCTCTGCATATTTTTGCGGATGAGCACAATGATACCTCTTCTCTGGGTTATTAAAAGTTGGCCTGTTTCATGCGCGAAGTTCAATGCATTAACAAGGATGGTCGAAATATCGAGCCAAAAGGTCTTGGTGTTTCGGCTTTGTCCCTATCTTCTTCTAGTATCGCAATCTCATGTTGAAGTTTTGATTGCATGTGCATTTTTTGTTTATTTTTGATGGCAGAGTACTGAAGGTTTCTCGCCGACCTTTAATTTTATCATTTACCAAAGCAGTGATGGGTTAACAGTTTCATCCTCACTGTATTCGTCTAACGTTTCTGTGATAGTCTTTTTTATTTGTTTACGCTATCTGTTTTCGATAATCTAGACGTGTTGAGTTTCCAAAACCCTGGACCTCGTGGATTTGGGTGCAAAAAAGAGAAAATGTCACCAAAGAGTGGTCGGTTTTTATCCTGGACTTATTTCTGCCACTTTTGTTTTGTTGCTACGCTTTGATTTACTAAAAAAAAAATTGAAGTCAACATTGTACGTTTGGACGTTCCCGCCTCCATGTAAACAGGCTGCTCTAGGATGAGAAACCCTCCATAGGACTACTAAATTTAGATTCTCAGACGATTCCTCTACACTTTTTACGCTATTTTGATAGTTTTGCTAACGCTGCCTCTCTTGTCCTTCTCTAAATCGAGTACAAGATTAAAATCTCCCACTATAACTATATCATGACAGTTAAAGTCAGAAAGGTGATAAAAAAGATCGAAAAAAGCTGGATTGTCTTTGTTTGGCGCGTATATATTAGCCAAGGTCATATTAACATCATTTGCTGTCAGGTCACAGATAATAAAACGTTGTAAGGTACATTATCCAAGGCTTTAACCATTTTCCTATCTGCTTTATTTTTACATTTTCTATCATCTTTGCCAATAGAATAATCTACATCATGTTGCATAGCTTTTAGATCTGTTTCAGCTGTTTGTTGATCATAGATTTCTAATATTTCTCCTATTTTTAGATCATATTTCAGTTGGGAATTTGAGTCATTATATGGGCCAGTATGGTGATGCCCAGGTAATTTTTCAATCATTTTATGAATACCAATTCCAGCACCCCAACCCATTCCTTTTGCTTTGCTTTATAATATTGATCTTTGTACATATTGAAATAATTTTTTAGCATCTTTTACAGGCATTTCATTTACAGGTGCAAATAACTCAGATCAGTTTATAATTTGTAACTTTCTTTGTAATCAACTATCCAAGGCGAGCCAAATATACCCTATTACAACAATCCATCCATTATGCCTATGCAATCTAAATCCTTTCTATCTGTTTTATATTTTTTATTTAGTCTTATTTTTGTTGGTAATTGATCTAACGCTTGACTACCAACATTTTCAGTCGTAGGGTTTAATTTATCAAGAGTATAATCAATTGCTTTTTTTCAAAAATTTTCATTTCTCATTAACTCACTTGCCTCCATAACGACCCATCTCAACTGCTTTTTTACCTATCCAAGGAACACCATGAGTAACAAACATCTCCAATGCACTAACTGCTATAGTATCTGCTACGCCCGTCCCCTAAGACGGGCTAACTAGTTTCGCTGGCTTTTTACGAATTTGGGTTTTGTAATACCACATGACGCACAAGTGCAGAAAAACATCAATGGACCATTTTTTGGCTTTTTTATAGCCACTTGGTTCGACACATTCAGTTTATTCTCTTTCTTTTACACAATCTATGAATTTCTCATTTTTAATGCCATCATTTATATCAAATACTTTTAACAAATCATAATATGATGTCCTTTTTCATTTCATTTAAAAATACAAACAAAAATAACCAGAGTAGTGGTATTTAAATTTCGCATGTTCAAAATCTCTTGAAAAGGGGGCATAGCAAATAAATCAATCAAGACATTATATGAAGGCTCTAAATTGTATATGATTAATGTTTCCTTATGATTATGTGGACTATTATCTCTTGACAATACATGTTTTATTGGTATTCTTAAATATTTACACCAATTTATTAAATCATGATTGCTTCAAAGCTTGTTTTTTATAAAAAATTTGGTCTAACAATGTTGTGCCTAGTAATGGGATTCCATTGAACGGGCTGCTTTTGCCTAATAGAAACCCTTTTCCTTTTTTCTTCTGAGATTTTTTTTACTCCTATACCCACTGGATTTTACTCCGTTCCAATAAAAGGTGGAGGAATATGAGGGGCAACCTCGTCCCCAGGGCGCTGTTTCCTGGCTTGAGTGCATATGGATTTACAATACCATTACCTTTTTTGCTAGTTGATGGTAATGACCTTCTTGTTCTTGAAAGGTCAGTTATTCCTATTCTTGGAGCACCTTTCCCGCTTTTTTTTCTAATAGTCTCAATAGTAAGTGAAACACCAATACTAGCAAGTAATGCCCCCCAAAAGCCTGCTGACTGTGTTTTTCTTGGTTTTACAATTACTTTTCCACCCGATTGTAATGCTCTCAGCATTTCTTTTTGTTTTTGAGATAAATAAATAAATAAATAAATAAAGGTGTTCATCGTTTTTTAAGCACAAATACATGCTAAAACCAAGAACACTTACATCAAAAATAGCAGAAAGAATTACAAGGCTTAAAAAATTCTACGTGAAAGCATTGAATTTAACATTCAAGATCCACATTACATTAAATAGCTACTCTATATTTGAAAAATAGCCTATTAAAAAAACTATTTTTAAAACGCTGGGTATTAACCCTAGGGAGTTGACTGCTAGGAACTCGGAGGCGCGCTGAATTTTCTTTCGTTTTAGGGACGGAAGGGTACAAATGTTTTTTTATCTATCAATTGCTTTATTTTGTTATTTGAAATCAAAAAACCACCAATTTATCCAACAGAGATCTTTTTATCCAATTGACCGGCCCCTACATTAGTAAGACCTACCAATGCTGACAATCCAAGTGTTTTGCCCAATGTTGGTGCAAATGCACGACCTAATGATAAATTTGCTGTTAAAAGACTACCTCCAACTTGTTTTCTAATCCTGGTCTTAGCTAGTATTTATATACTTCCTTTTTTCAATTCACGGTTCTTTTCCGACCTTTTCACAACATTTGATGAACATACAACGTGTCATTTCCAGACAAAGAGTCCATCGTGACTGTCTCGATATTGCATGGTTGCTTAGTAACGCTAGCGACATGCGCATTAGGACTTGTAGGCTCTTACCATGTACTCTTGCCAAATGGCGGACTATGTACATGACGTTTGTTTGTTATAAATGATTAAATCCTGTTGAGATTTTAAGACATGGTGGCAGCGGTTAAACAAGTAAAATGCTGAAGTTAAGCCCTCCAGAGAAATTTGATTTTTCCAAACCGCTCGACTGGCCAGATTGGAAGCAGAATTTCCTGTGATTTCGACTCGCGACGAAACTTCACAAAGAGGAAGGCGCCGTGCAAGTCAGTGCTCTCATTTACACAATGGGAAGAGAAGCAGAACATGTGTATAAGTCGTTTACCTTGGCTGATGGAGATGATGCAAAATTCGACGTGATTTTGGCGAAGTTTGATGAACATTTCGTGCCGAAACGGAACATAATTCATGAGCGGGCACGTTTTCACCAAAGGATCCAAAAGCAAGGAGAGACAATGGAATCGTTCGTACGAAGTCTTTACGAATTAGCCGAACACTGTGATTTTGGAGACAGCCGTGATCAGCAAATACGGGACAGAATTGTCATTGGAATTCTTGATAAAGCTGTGTCGCAGAAATTACAGTTAAAGTCGGATTTAACGCTGGAAGTCGCGATTCAAATTGCTCGCCAGTCAAGTCTCAGGTTACTGATCAGAATTCCCTCGCATCGAAGGAAGTTGAAGAGGTGGGCAGTAAGAAGAAACCGACTAATCCGCTTTGGAAAAAGGGAAAAGGAAAGAAAGAGGATCCATCTCACAAGCAAGGTCAGAAGAAGTGTGGCAGATGCGGTCTCCATCACTCAAAGCCTGAACACTGTTTAGCAAAAGATAAACGATGTTTGAAATGTCAAAAAGTGGGTCACTTTGCAACTGTTTGTTGGTCCAAGTCGGTGAGTGAGGTGAATAGTAGTGGTGGTGGTAGTGCTTCAAATGATAGCAGTGCTGGTCGTTGGTTCTTAGGTGCGTTGTCAAGTGATTTAGATCAGGATGACAAATGGAAGGTCCAGCTTAAGGTCAGTGGTAAACCTCTGGTGTTCAAAATTGATACCGGTGCTGATATTACTGCCATCTTAAAGTCTGCTTTTGATAGTTTGCCAAATCAGCCCAAGTTACATCCAGCGATGATAGCCCTTTTCAGTCCAGGAGGCAAGTTGCAGTGCGCTGGGCAGTTTACAACAGCAGTGACACATTGCAACAAGAAATACCAACTCAATATTTTTGTAATCAGTGGAGAACATGCAAGTAACTTGCCGAGTCGAGAAGCAGCTTGTGAAATGGGTTTAGTTGCGAGATTAGAAGAGGTGGATGCTGAGTTGTTTGGAGATATAGGCTTGTTCAAGTGTGAGCCAGTTAGGATCCAACTGGATGAGAATTCCCAACCCTATTGCATCAACACGGCAAGAAGAATAGTCTTGTTACTTTCACGGATGAAATGTATGTATTTCCGTAATTTCACAACCTTATTTGTAAAATACTCTTACCTTTATTTTAGTTCTCACGGTGTTTATGGAAGTAAGGTTAAGAAAGGAAATAAACATCAGTACGTGAACGAGTGTCATCTCATATCTCATCACTGGAGCAATAGTGAGAACTTGGTGATAACACAGAAGATCGATCAAGCGAAGATCCGAAGTGGGCAAAACAAGCAAGTTCAATCAAAGGTCAAGTCAAGTCAAGATCAAGGTCAGACGTCCGACTAAAAATAGATTCTCAAGTCAAGTACTGACGTTCAGCGCAGCGACAAATCACAAGCCAAGTAAAGTACAAGTTAAGAAGCTCTGTTGCAAGAACGTTATAATTTATATGGACACACATAAATAAGAAGATTCCGCTTGTAATAGTTGCAGAAATAAGTTTAAGTAATTGATTACATTTTAAGTCGAAGTGAAGTACTGTCACACCACGGGTGTCACGCACAAATATCTTTAAGTAGTAACAGGCGCTGCCTGAAGTATTAAGTTTTAAAGTTCAAGTTAAAAGAAGTTACAAGAGATTACTCTAACGTATTAAGATTTACTTAGACCAAATGTCTAGCTCAAGTGAGGTAACAGAATTTAATGCCGTAGAGAAGTTAGCGTTACCTACAGAAGGCGTAGTTCAAGTAAACAGTAATCTATCAGCGGTAGATAATAATAATGTAAGGAGTTAGAACAGATGGAAGTGAAGAAACAATTGGATATGGCAAGGGCGAGGCTAAACGCGTACCAAGTAGCCGAAGAGATCGAAAATGAGAAGGATCCCGTTGAAGACGATCTCTCGCGCGCTTCCCTTATTCAGACAACCCCAGCATCCCTACCTCCGCTGCAGGAGCCCAGGCATTTAAGATCGGACTTAACCGCATCAAGGGTAACACAGCCCACTCAGCAGCTTCAAGACGTGCACAAGTCTCCTAGCGTCCTTCAAGGGTCATCAAGCGCTGATAAAACCGCCGAGATCGTCACTACAATAGCCGATTCATTCAGTTTAAGTCGCCTCCCAGCACCCGAACCAACCACCTTCAGCGGTGAACCCATCCATTATCCGGATTGGAAGTCGTCCTTCTATGCTCTCATACACCGAAAAAACTTACCTCTGTGTGACAAGATGTATTACTTAAAACGCTACGTTAGCGGATCAGCCAAGCAAGCCATAAGCGGACTTTTCCTGCAAAGTTCATCGGAAGCCTACGAACAAGCGTGGAGCATTCTGGACGAGAGATTTGGTCACCCGTTTATAGTAACTAAAGCTTACAGAGACAAGCTACAAGGATGGCCAAAGATCGGTGCTAAGGATCATCAAGGTCTCAGAGGATTCGCTGATTTCTTAACAAGTATAGAAACAGCAATGCAGACAATCAAGGATCTAACCATTTTAAATGACTATATGGAAAATCAGAAGCTGCTTGCCAAGTTACCAGACTGGCTTATCTCTCGATGGAACAGAGAAGCCACAAGAGAAATGAAAGAACACAAGAGATATCCAGATTTCAAGACTTTTACGGCGTTTATCAATGCTGAAGCGGACCTCGCATCCAATCCGATCTCTTCTTGTAACGCAGTGAAAGAAGTAGGAACTGCATCAGTTAAAACGCATCAAGCACCAAAGCCGAAAGATGTCGGTGATATGACCGTTCATTCTATCCAGAAGATAGAAGAGAACTCTAAAGAGCCAAAGGAAACTCCGAAACCAAAGCCGCAGTGTACATTCTGCAGGAAGACAGATCATCAGTTGGATGCATGCCCTAAGTTTAAGACTGAGACACTTGAGAAAAGACTGCGATTTGTTAAGGAAAACAAGTTATGTTTCGGATGCTTAAGTAAAGGTCACATGTCCAGTGATTGTCGAAAGAAGTTGACTTGTTCGTCATGCAACAAGAAGCACCCCACTTGCCTTCATCAAGAAAGAAGAGAAACAAGAAAGACAGAAGAAAGAAGAGTGGACTGCGAGTCATTAAACGTCCCAAAACCCACTTCTTGCAATTGCACATCTCAAGGAGCCTCAAGTAGTACCTCAATGATAGTTCCTGTCTGGCTATCGTCATCTAAGAGGCCCGAAGCGGAAGTGCTCGTATATGCTATTTTAGACACGCAAAGTGACTCCACATTTGTTTTGAAAGAAACCTGCGATGAACTTGACGCAGTTAAACAACCGACTAAGCTTCGACTGAGCACTATCACTAGTCAAGAGTCAGTTGTCGACAGTCAAAGAGTCTCGGGTCTTCAAGTAAGAGGATACAATTCTGACCTGAAGATTCCAATACCCGTTGCTTACACGAGTACATCGATACCAGCCGATGAAGACCATATACCGACTACCACCACTGCTAAGAATTGGAGTCACCTGCGACCAATTGAAGACAAAATGCTCGACCTATTGGACTGTAACGTGGGCCTACTAGTCGGATATGACTGCTCTCAAGCATTAACCCCAAGAGAAGTTATTTCTGGCGAGATAGTCTAGGAGGTAGAACCCTGAAAAAATCGAGACGTAGCACACCCTCTACATATTTGGTCTGACATCACAAAATGATAGGGCAATACCCATAGAACATTTGTAGGTATGATGTACTGGTGGGACGTCGTTGTGCTGGGGGCTCATTTGTGACTGCTGGTAAGGTCCCTGTGATTTAAGAATATTTTTAGTATCATTATTTTATACATGTTCAACTCGACATTACTCCCCTAAAGTTAAGCCCAGACAATTTTAAATTAGTTCAAGCATTACTGGTGTGAATATATTTTATCTTTATGTGTGAAACAACTTAACGAGGTTTCCATGGTAACCGTTGCTATGGTCATTTTTAATTAAGCGTATTAAAGCAGTAATTAGCATTAGATTCTTTAGAATAACGTCCAAACTTATCACTTCTTTATCCATCATCTTAAGTTAATCGAAGAAAACAATACTTTTGAATTTAAAGTTATTCAGTTTTCAAAATAACTCATCTTTTCCTTAACAACTGCTGTTTACTACAGTGATTATGGTCAAAACTTGTTCCTTTATTTTCTCTTTTTGCTCAAAATAATCTTTCACTATCTTGACAAAATCTGAACAATGTTTTCACAGTAACAACTGCCAATAAGACATTTTATACGTGAAATCTGAAAACAGATTTTGACACAAAAATGGCACTAGCTTTGGTTTTGAAGATAGTTTTCAAATCGACGAGAGGAATGAACAAATTAAGGACTTGAACTTTCCATTTCATAATTAAAGTATAAACTTTAAAACTGCAATATGGAATGCAAAAATTAGGATCAAAATTCAGAAATTGAATTTTGGGGGATAGTGAAGGCCATAGTTTAAATACCAAAACTTGAATGTGTATTGCTGTTACTAGAGTACTAGAGGCTAAACGTCAGCATCTGTTAGCTCGTCTTCACTGCTTCCAGGTGTTATATCAACTGGCTTGTGAGGATTTTGGCAACTTTCATCATTCATACAAAGGCATGCCTCTGTACAGGGCATCTCGTGGGCTTTGCAAGGACACAAGTCATCCCTTCTGCAGACAGATTTGGTACATTTGCAAGTCGTCAGTTCACGCAGCCCTTGTGGTGCTGGATCCTTGGACATCAAAAGTGGTTCCAAAACACCATCCACTTTCTTCCATCCGTTGCTGGCTGGCGACGGGAGTTGCTGTGTTGCATTCAAGCAGTGTTTCCACACATATGCCTGGTAGTTAGCACGTTCAATGTGGTGTCGCAAGCTGTTGCTTGTGGGTGGTAAACTTTCACTTCTTTGGTGCTTTTGGCAGAATATCCAATAGCGTACGTCGTCAGCTGTTACCCCTGCCTTCTTGTTGGTTGTATAAAGGGAACAAATAAACCTCTCACAGGCTTCAACAGTGAGCGCTCTTGGTGGAATATGACTACCAAGGTTGCCAACACTGTCATGGAGACTGGGATATTTGACAAATACCATCCTTTCTTTTTCCCGATCTGAAACAACCCACTAGTAGAATCACAACCAGTTAGAGCATGGAATGCTGGAATCGCTGCGCAAACACTCCTACCAAGCTTCTCAGCAATACGCTGGACAGGTACGAAGGGAACCTTACCTTTGACGCCTGTCTTGAACCAAATTTCGTTGCACTGTATCATCTGGTATGCATAGATAGCTAATACAGCAACATCTGTATCAGGGGACTGAATGACAATCCTCTCTTTAGTGGAAGAGGCGTGCCACGCATGAAGGATCATCCTTGTGTCGGCTTCTTCACGGTCTGATCTCAGCTCTGCAAGGGGATCCGTACGTCCACGGGTTACAACAACTGCATCTGTTGGATCTTCAAAGGCACCACCAATTACCAGCTCTTGATCAGGAAGTAAGTTGTATTCACCCAGACTGCACCACTCTCGGCAAAAAAATCTGGAAAGGTTAACCTTGTTATTCTGGTTGCTGATAAACTTCCCCCACTGCTTTGGAACTGGTGTATGCTTGTTTGTGATTTGGATCTCAAGAGCTCTGCTTGAACCCCTCCTAACTCTTTCACTTTCCTTTATGGACTCTTGAACATCATAGCGGTCAAAGACAACATCTACTCTTCTGCACTGACCTTATCGTAGAGGTGTGAAGAGCAAATTAAAGTATGTTTCAGCTAGGTCTCCGAATGTGCGGGAGCCTGCAGACTTCAACGTCTGGATAAGAGCCATTGCATCAAAAATGAATGCGGTTGATAGTGCACTTTCAGGAAGTCTTCCTTGTGCTTGACATTCCCGTTCAACCTCAGCCATTAGGACACTTTTTGTAGTTTTCCGCAAAGCACCACCTGCATGTGCCAATGCAAAGTTCATATCTCAGGACCTCTTTCACATCAACGTCACGACACTTTGCAGCAATTAGAAGTCTTCCAAACAAATTTCTGTCAGCTGAAATAGTGATGATCTTCTCGTCTGCGCATTTGATTTGATTTGTTTTTGCCAGAGAAGCCAATGTTTTCAAATTCAATTTCGATATCTTGCTCCAAAAGGATACCTCATCACTGTCCATTCTTTGTCTCCTAAATTTCTTTGCTTCTTCTGCTCCTGTGCTGAAACAGTCAACGAGCTGCTCTGCCGCGTCATGCGGCATAACGAGTCCAGTGGCGATGTTTCGTAATTGAACTGGGTCTTCCTTCGATGCCTCACTCAAATCGAAAGGGTTTGACATGGTATTAGTAATGGTGTTAATCAGCCGCTGAACATCGTTTTCATCCCTCTTTACTCTTTGGGAACCTGCCTCCTTGTGAGTCCCAATCTTGTCAGAGTCTTCAAGGTTGCAAAGTCGCTTGGTTGCACCAGTTAGCTCAGCTCTCTTGTGACTTGTTATAAACCATCTGTCTAGTGCCGAAGCATTTTGTGTCAAGCCAACAATACCCCCTCTAATCTTGCTGTTGAGATTGATGGTTTGTTCCAAGGCCATGTCAGTCCAAACTTGGCTAAAGGGTTGACTTGATCTACTCACTGGGTGGTTGCCATTTAGGAATTCTTCGTAAACTTCTGGAGCGTGAGTGAGAAGCAGCTGCATATCAGCCAAGTAGATGAGGAGCCACCTGCAATTTATTGGAGGAAGACGTCAAAATAAGAGAAACGTAAGAAGGGGCCGGGTAAGTGAGAAAGTTAAAGCTAACCGCATAATAAGGTAACGACCTATGATAATGTGTAGATCTCTTCATGCGTTTGAACAAACGTGTTCACCACTTGGGATAAAGAATAAATCCCGTAATAAGTTCGATATATTATAATTCAGTCAAAAAAACCCACATCATTTCGAAGCAAAGGGGAGTAAATCCTTACAAATCCGACCTCTAATCCTCGTAGCGATGACTCTTTTAAAGTTCAATTAGGCTACTGTTCTTTAGTACTGATGCACAATTTGCAGTCAATCTGAAAGATATGAAAAAAGATAATCAGAATAAATCGATTGCCCACATACCTGGAATAGTTGATGCGATCCATTGAAAAGAAGTACGGTACCATTTCTGCAACGGCTTTCAAATGAAGTTTCCATGATCCCTCTTGTTCAGCTCGAATGAAGCGCAACAGCAATAGAACAATGTCAATATACATATTCCAGAAGTGGAATAGTTTAGACTGCTGACTAGCTTCTGTGCAGAATCTCGCGAAAATTTGTTGAAGTTGTGGAAGTTTGTCGCAGAGAAGACCGAATGAGGTCTTCAGAGAGGCTACATCATTACTTTCTCTTTGACAACAGTTTATTAAAGATAAACACTGGCGCTGATATACTGTTGGGAGCTCGACGTCCTCAGCTTCCATCCAAGCTCCAAATGCTTGCCACTGCAGTCTCAGTAGTGCTTCGAGAACAAGTTTATGTGCACGCACGCCTCTGTTGTATGACTTCCCCTTCAATAGCATAGATGCCGTGTGGCATCCATACACACCAGATTCCATTAGCAGGTCTTCAATGCCACTGTCCTGGAAAATCTTTCCAATAACTGAGAGGAAGTTTAATGCTATATGAAAACCTCCCATTCGGATCACTGTGTTCTTAAATTCTTCAGGCCATCGCCACTGAATCTCTTTGGCCTTCATGTAGATTGCCAGGTCAAACGTAATTACACTGTGTTTCTGGTGTAGTACATCCATCATTGCTTGGACGTTCTTCATGGCAGTGTAAACTGTACTGTATTCAGTCGGTGAACCATTGATCGTTCGACAGTAACCAACGGAGGTCAAGGGTGGCGGCTCACTTGCTATCTTTGCGTTAAACCCACTCCAACTTGGCAAGGGCTGAAAAACTTCGCCGTCGCGGTTATGTAGATTTTCACTAAACAACTGGTGGGTACACAGACGTGTTAAAAACCAACCAAAATCCATCTGAATTGCAGTGGTACAGAGCGAGCTTGAGGACTGAAACCACTCTTCTTCCATTTTGTCTTTGTAAAAGGTTACGGCAGGCCGCTTGCCACAAGCACCAAACTCCAACAGGGGTGGATTTGCATCTGAGATGTTAAGAGACCGACGTTTTTCTGAATGAGCAGGACGAACTGCAGGTTTCGGTTTTGGTCCTTGTTGCTTTCTTTGGTACAGGACAAGTGTAGTGGCATGAGTAGTTTGCTTGCCGTCTAGTGTCTCCTCTTTGATATCGTTATTGTCTCCCGCGACTTGAACAAACACTCCTGGTGAAATGTTAGATGGAACAACAGCACCCAGATTTTCTGAGCTGGCTATAATGTCTAATGCTAGGCTAGTGTCAACTACTTCTAGGTCATCATAAGAACAGCAGTGACCGAATCTCTTTTCTTAGCGGCTGAATTGATGACATCCTGCAAAGATATAGAGCTAGAGTAAACCAACTCTGGCTTAGAGGGATCCGGTAGCTTCTGAAAGACAATTTCCTCTTGAAAACTTTGTTGCAGGCTGCGTTTTAACCTCTCTGACTTGTAACTTTTTGCCGTGTTGCAGCCAAGGTGTTGCAAAATTCCCTGGTAAGAGTCTAAGAGGGTTTTCATATCAAGAGCCACTCCTGATTCTAACTGAGGTTTGATGTCCTCTCTCAGGTTGTGGAACGCTTGGGTGTAGACATCTTCCTCCCCATCAACTCGAAAGTCAACAAACATTAGGTTGGATTTACTTACATATTGGGAGCGGCAGTGTTTATGGTACTTGGCCTCCGCAGCCATCAAATCAACTCCTGAAATCTTCAACAACATGTTCTCATCACTCCTTCTTCGTGCAGCCTCCTCTATAGCCTTGCATGAATCAAATGTTGAAACGTTCATAAGTTTTGTTGTCCCCTTTGACTTTTTCTGCTGACAAAATAGACAAAGGGACCAATCCACTGCATTAACTTGCGATCTCGAACTTGGTCTGTCAGCGTGCCTTTCTTGACTTTCAGCAAAAGGTAATGGTTTAATAAAGCTAAGATTTCTCTTGCTTGTATAACTTTGAAAACACTTGCCGTGCCAGACAACATCTAGAGCGTCTACATTTTCAAAAGTCGACAAAATCCTGTGGTAAGATTCATCTTTCCTAACCTCTACAACTTCTTTTAACTACCTCAATCCAGCTTCGGTAGGACCTCTTAGTCTTTCACTGCTTTTTTCTTGACAAATGATAAAGTCTGTATCTGATTTGGGCTTCTTTTTTGGAGGCAGAAGCCTCACTTCGCTTTCTTCCTCACTGCTTTCAGTACAACTAGCCATTACCAATCATCTTAAGAAAAAGTAAAAAGGAATCATAGATTCTTTCCTCTGATCAGGAAACCTGCTTTCCTAAAATTAGCAGTGATTAACTTCTGAATTCAAAAAAGAAAACATGTCCTACGTAGTTAGTTGTTTGCTGGCGATATGAATATATAAATATATGTACTTTTCAAGATAAAATTGGAGATTTGCTCTATAGATTTGTGTATAGTTTCAGATAAATATTGTTCTAAGCAAAGAAAAATTACTGATAAAAACTTTTACAGAACGTGTTTCATTGTCAATAATTTGTACGTAACCAGATAGATTTCCTTAATAAAACAGAATTACTTATAAATAATGGAAAGGGATGTGCTTACAAACCAAAACCTTAGCACATGGTCAGTCCTTCGCTAGCCACACGTTTAAATATTCGTAATTTTCAACATAAAAATGGAAATTTGCTCTCTGATTTGTGCACATCTTCAGATAAATTGCTCTTAACAACATAAAACTACTCCTAAACTGAAACTGAACGTGTTTTAAAAGTCAAAACCTTACCTGTGAAAGAAAACAGCGTCGAACTAAAATCCAATATGGCTGAACTAAACAGTCTGTAAGTACCAATTGCATTGTGGGAGCCTTACTCCCTTTGCACTCTGGGAAGTTTTCAATTTAGTAAGAATCGCAAACGCTATTATAAAAGTAAAAAAGACACTTGCATCAGGTAATTAAAGGTAGTTTTTGAGAATCTATATTGATTCAGACAAAAATTTTCAATTGAATCTCTTGCTAAGGGAATTTGATAAATAAAGTGGTAGAGATATAATTACTGGGTAGATGCCGAGTTTTGGAAAATAATATTTTGATGTCACAAATACTGTTTTCTTTGATTAACTTAAGTTGATGGATAAAGAAGTGATAAGTCTGGTCATTATTCAAAAGAATCTACATTGTAATACTAATTATCTATTAAATAGCCTTAATTAAAAATTACCATAGCAACGGTTACCATGGAGACCTAGTTAAGAAGTTTTACACATTAAAATAAAAGATATTCACACCAGTAATGCTTGAACTAATTTAAAACTGTCTAGGCTTAACTTGAGGGGAGTAATGTCGAGTTGAACTTGTATAAAATAGTGATACTAAAAATATGCTTAAATCACAGGGGCCTTACCAGCAGTCACAAATGAGCCCCATGCACAATGACGTCCCACCCGTACATCAGTACATCATACCTAAAAATGTTCTATGGGTATTGCCCTATCATTTTGTGATGTCAGACCAAATATGTAGAGGGTGTGCTACGTTTTTCATTTTTTAGGCCTCTTCTGGAAATCTCCTCTTAGTCTAAGAGTTACGAGCCGTATGCTATCAAGACAGATCTCGGATGGAGTATAGTAGGTGGTGGACAGGCCAGGAGTGGAAGGTCGTTTTGCCAAAGAGTTGCTGTAAGGGAGCTACCTGCTGTAACAATGAATGACATCATACGAATACTCGAGTCAGACTTCAAGGAAAGTAAAAATGATATGAAGACCTCTCAAGAGGACTTGCAATTCCTTAAGATTATGGAAGAAGGAATTAGGAAGACCGAAAACGGACACTGTGAAATGCCACTGCCACTTAAGCAGCGGCCACTGTTGCCTGACAATAGCTCAATGGCGATGACTAGCCTTGAACATCTCAAACGAAAATTCCTGAAGGACTCTAAGCACAAAGAAGACTACATCAAATTCATGAACGAAGTGTTTAGCAGAGATGCCGAAGAAGCGCCAGTTCTCGCACAAAATGATAGAATGGAGTGGTACATACCTCATCACGGTGTCTATCACCCAAAGAAAAACAAGATAAGAGTCGTATTTGACTGCTCGGCAAGATTCAAGGGAACTTCGTTGAACGATCACTTACTCAGCGGACCTGACCTCACTAACAATTTCACGGGCGTACTCTGCAGATTCAGAAGATATCCTTACGCTATTACTTGCGATGTGGAGAAGATGTTTCACCAATTCGTTGTAAGCGAAACTGACCGTGACTATTTGCGATTCCTTTGGTGGCCCAATGGTGATATCAAGCAAGAGCTCAAGGAGTACAGAATGAAAGTGCATTTATTTGGGGCAACATCTTCGCCTGGTTGTGCCAGCTACGGCTTCAAATACATTGCTAATGAAGAGAAAGAGGCGTACCATTCAGCTGCAAGGTTCATTACTCATGACTTCTATGTTGATGACGGACTAGCCAGCGTTGAATCCGCCGAACAAGCAAAGGACCTCATCAGAGGAGCTCGTGAAGTTTGTTAGAAAAGTAGCCTTCGTCTTCACAAATTTATAGCAAATGATCGCGAAGTACTTGAATCAGTATTAGAACGTGAAAGAGCAATGGACATCATCCTGGATCTGCCGTCGCAAGAACTCCCCATAGAAAGAGTTCTTGGTATTCAGTGGTCAGTGGGGTTAGACTGCTTCGGCTTCTCCATCGTTCTAAAGGACCAACCCTTAACTAGAAGGGGAGTACTAGCAACGGTTGCCTCTGTCTATGATCCTCTCGGATTTCTAGCTCCCTTGGTCATGAAAGCGAAGAAGATACTACAGGAAATATGTAGGAGAGGTGTCAACTGGGATGATCCTCTGCCTGAAGACGTTCGGCCAAGGTGGGAGCGGTGGAAACTTGATCTCCTGCGTCTCAAGGAGTTACAAATTCCAAGATGCTTCGAGCCGAAGACAATGAGCCAAAAGAAGAGCTATGAGTTACACAAATTTGCTGATGCAAGCACATCCGGATACGGACAATGTTTCTACCTCAGAGTGACGGATGAAGACGGAAACGTGAACTTCTCATTGGTGATGGGAAAGTCCCGTGTCGCTCCATTAAAGATTACTACTATACCAAGATTGGAGCTCACCGCTGCAGTAGTTTCCGCGAAAGTTGGCGTGATGCTTCAAGAAGAATTAAACTACGCCAATCTTAAACAGTTCTTTTGGACCGATTCCAAGGTAGTACTTGGTTACATAAACAACGACGCCAAAAGATTCCATACGTTCGTCGCCAACAGAGTACAGATAATCAGATTCAACACTGACACCAAGAAATGGCGACACATGGAAACTAAGAATAATCCCGCAGATCACGCCTCGAGAGGATTAAGTGCTGAAGAGCTAATGAGGTCCAATGGGTTCATTGGACACGCGTTCCTTTGGGAGAAAGAAATTCCAAACAGAAAAGAAGAGATCCCCAATATTCGAATTGGAGACCCGGAAGTTAAGGCAACTGTACGCACTACTGTAGTTAAAGAATCTTGCAACCTAATCGATTACGTGTCAAGGTTCTCTAGCTGGACGAGGGCAGTCGGAGTAATCTCATACCTGAGAAGACCCTTCAAGAAGAATAAGCCAAAGACAGTTACTACCACAGCAGCTGAACGACAAGATGCTGAAATCCTTATTTTCAAGGAGCTTCAACGCTCAGCATTCAAGAATGAAATTGCAAGCCTAAGTCATAAGGAGCAGAAACCCAAGCTCACCAAGCAAAGCCGCTTGTTAAGGATGGATCCCTTCATCGATGATCAAGGACTGATAAGAGTCGGTGGGAGGCTGGAAAATTCCACCTTGCCATTTGATGTCAAACACCCAATTATCCTACCAAGATGTTCTCACGTAACCGAGCTGATTATTGATCATTTTCACGAGAGGGTAAAGCATCAAGGAAAGGGAATGACGATGAACGAAATTCTTTCCTATGTAATATGGATACTAGGCCTCAATGCTGCAGTAGCCTCACACATTTATAAATGCGTACAACGCAGACGACAGCGACGACCAACAGAAGGCCAGAAGATGGCAGATCTCCCCACCCTTTACATACTGTGGAATGGATTGCTTTGGGCCGTTCACAGTCAAGGAAAGAAGAAAGGAACTGAAGAGATACGCAGTGATATTCACCTGCATGAGTTCTCGTGCAGTGCACATAGAGCTGTTAGATGACATGACAACCGATGCCTTCATCAACGCATTCAGATGCTTCATAGCAATTCGAGGACCCATCCAACAGATAAGGTCCGACCAAGGCTCAAACTTTGTAGGAGCAAGGAACGAACTCGCAAAGGCCATGAAGGAGTTGGATAACGACAAGATCCAATCATATTTGACAACCAATCGCTGTGAATTCGTTATGAATGTCCCTTTTTCCAGTCACAGGGGAGGAGTATGGGAAAGGCAGATTAGGACTACAAGAAGCATTCTTAACTCCGTTCTCAACGATTACAAGGGAAGACTCGACACGTCCTCACTACGCATCTTATTGTATGAAGTCATGGCTATAATCAACAGCCGACCTTTGACCTATCAATGCCTGAATGATCCAAAGAGTTTGGAGCCTCTAACGCCAAATCATCTACTCACCATGAAGAACAAGACACTTCTTCCACCTCCAGGAAAATTTGTCAACGAAGAAATCTACGCCCGGAAACGATGGCGAAAGGTCCAGTTTCTGGCAGAACGATTTTGGAGTAGGTGGCGAGAGGAGTACCTCATCAATCTGAATTCAAGACAAAAATGGTTTCAGCCAAAGAGAAATCTGAAAATCGATGACATCGTAGT